TCAGAACAGTTTGAAGCTCATCAGATCACTCAAATACTGCTATTTATAACACAGATGCAGAGCTGTGAGGAGGCAATAGAAGCAGATTATGCTGCGTGGTAACCTAGAGTCACAGGAAATGTGTCACAACATATTAAAACGTATGATCTTACTTTCTCAACGTAATAGCTAAATAACCACTTTTGTGTTGTGCAATTGCCTCTTAATAGCGCGGAAGCTGCACCCAAAGTAACGTATTTAGGGATTTATTGGCGTAACAGTGATGGCTGGAGTGGTTTGAGATGTTTTAATGGACATTTTGATCAGATTTGACACCTTTTCTCCCTGTGACTGGGTCTCCTTTGAAATTCATTGTAACCTTTGTGAATGTGAGGTGACTCTATACCATGAAGGAGCAATCTACAAAGTTTTTAGATCCACCTTTAAAACCCCGGGCATAGATTTTTACCTTTACAAAAAGGGGCTCTAAAACTCAAATGACCTGGCACTGGTCAGGTTGGTCTCTCCTAAGGGAGCCATTTAAAAAAAAAAAAAAAAAGCATTTTTGCAACCATCAGCTTTAGGCTATGCACATTTTAAAGCTGAGCTTGTATTTGCCTCTGCTCTCCCTCGTACCTAGCACACTGCTTTGCATGTTTAGTGGAGTAATGCTGCTTACAACTTTAAAAAATGCACTCCAGGCATTCTTTAAGATATATAAAAAATATTCTACCTTTGAATTGTAATTTCTGTCTGGTACGGCCATGACTGACTTTGAAACTAGTTGCGATGTCACAAAACTTGTGCTCATATGTATCTGTGTTAAACTCTTTAAGATTTAATGTGACACTTTCCGCTTCGGGCTGATGAATGTGGAAACATCCTTCCAAACTCTGTACATACATCATTCTGCACAGTTCAAACATCCAAGTAAAGTAACAATAAGCAAAACACATATTACCACAGAGTAGTGGGTATTTAAATATGATATATAATCACATCATTCTTATGTTTAAAGCATGGCTAGAAAATTGTACCATTACTAGAAAAGGGAAAAAAAGCGAAATAAAAAAAGTTTGCCAGTCAGATTTCATAAAAAAAATGTGCACATGTGGGTGGGGTGGCTTAGGAAGTTGTCATGCAGCTTGAGACTCTTGCTGAAAGTGTAATTGCTTCCTTCGTGCAAAACAGAAAACAGATTTATGAAGTTTGACCGAAAAAAATAACAAAAGGTCAAAGTTACTTGTTGTTTCTGGAGCTTTAAACCACATTTTGTGGCCCTCCCGGCTGAATGGAGTCACTCAGGCCTAATTCAGCCAATGTGATAAGTGGCTATATTATGTTATATTTATATTAGATTAGATAGTCTAAAAAGGCAAACATAATGCCCTTTCTATATTTTTTCCTCTCTTTTTTAACATTCACATTTTTCCTCTTTATTTATTTATTTACATCACTTCATTCATTCATTTAGTGTATTGCACTATAAACACTTAGACCAGATTGGTATTCCAGCTTCATGCACTTTTAAGTAGACATTATCACACAATAGATGTTAATTATCCAAGTGGAGCAAAGAGTATAAAGTCTGAAATATCCGTGTAACTCTTTGGATACACCTGAGGGTTTGTAATGAAACAAATGGAAAGAGTACAAGGCTAACAAACTAAATATCATCAGATTAGCTCTTCCACATATCAGATCAGATAACACAGCAAATGGAAAGTCGCTCCCTTGGGAGAAACTTCGGAGCCTGTGACGTAGGGCGGGGCCGGAGGCTAAAGGTCAGCTCCTGATTCTCTACATGGGGCGATGACACCTGTCAATCAACCCATGCTGAAGACCTTTATGCGGCGACAAAAGGCCGTCCACGGGCTATTGAGCGAGACGGCGATCCCTCCATGAGAAATGTCATGGATGTTGTGATAAAAATGAGGTCAGCCCAGTGTGGAGGTTTTTTTTTTTTTTGTCAAAACTCACCGCCAGACTGGTAGGAGTGTGTTTGTGTCACCGTGGCCTCGCCGTGTCACTGTGGCTTTCTGTTGAATGATACATCAGCTGTTATTGCAGTGCTGGGACATCATTATCCCACTGGAGTGCAATGCATGAGTGTGTGTGGCTTGGTGTGTGGTCGGTGAAGGTGACGTGGTGTGATGCATGTTTTTAATAACACTCCATTAGCTCTCAGGCTTGTGTGTGTATGTGTGTGTTCTCCTCTGTATATGGACTAGTGCCTGTATGCATGTGTGTGTGTGTGTGTGTGTGTGTGTGTGTGTGTGTGTGTTTACTCGACAGAATGTGTGTTGGAAAAGGCCGCTGATGGCCCGTGAATCAGAGCCCAGCATGCTGTTGTTTCATGTTGCTCCCACCGGGACGGGGGCCGAGCACCAGCCCGCGCCGCTGTCTGTTATCCCTCACCCCGAGGTTCACTGACCCCAACCATATTTTTCTACTTTCCCTCCTTTGTTTTCACTTTCTCTTCCCTCCCCCTCATACTGTGACTTTTTCTTCCCTCATTCTCACTTCTCACCCTCGCACTTCCTCTCTTTCTCTCTCTTTGCGCACACATTCCATCTTCCATCCACTCCTGACAGATCCACACATTTGCTCCCTTTTGAAAATTGCCAACGTACCAAGATAGTTTTTCAAGCGGTGGCACCGTAACTGATGCCAGCATCTTAAAAAAACACATGCCAGTACATGTTGGAAGGCAAGATTTCCCTCAGAAATATCTCCGTTTCCCACGCAAATCCATCCGCTGACAAAACGCATAGAAATCCGCTGATCTTGAACGCTGCTCGCCCACCACAGCAGCAGGCTATAACTAATCCATCTCCCACTACATGCTTTTAATGAGCCTCCATAACCGTTATCCGTATGGTGCAGTGCAGCGCGGGCCAAATCGAGCTGTTTCTATGACTTTGTGCTGTCAGCAAAAACGTGACGAGGGACGCGTGTGTGTGTGTGTGTTACTGTCACTGAGCATCTGCGTCCTCGCTGCGCCATCCTGGTTGACAATTTTCCATCTGGTAGATGGATGTGTGTGTGTGTGTGTGTGTGTGTGTGAGGAGGATGCGTGTGTGTGTGTGTTTATTGTCTAAATAGAGGATATTTACCTGCATCATCCTGTCTCAAAATGCAGCAGGATTATTGGAAACAGAAGCTGATGGGAGTGGAAGCAGTGTGTGTGTGTGTGTGTGTGTGTGTGTGTGTGTGTGGTGTGTGTGTGTGTGTGTCTGTAGAGGTAGAATCTGCCAGGCCCCTTTCAGAAGCCCCCATGGGGGCCACATTAGGGCCCTCCGGGGGCCAAATTAGAGGCAGCTAACCAAGTTAGAGATCGGCAGCAGAGGGGGCCTGACTGGCAGGGGTGGACTGATTTCACTCCAGCCCCCTGAACTAACACACACACACACACACACACACACACACACACACACACACACACACACCCTCGTCTCTTTGTTTTGCCGCTGATCAGCAGAAGATAAAAGCCAGTTCCTGACAATAGCAGCCTCTCTGTTGGGGAGTCTGCGGGGAGATCCTGACAGAGAGGAAGAGCTGTAATGTATTCCTGTAGGTCAGCCTAGATTAGTGTGTCTGTATCAAAAGGATGTGATTTAAACTTATTTAGCCATTAGAACAGGAGTTTCTTTAAATTTAATCTTATTATGGGTTATATCCAGACGCTCTTACTGGAAAAAGTTGGTTTTGGTGTTTTTAGAGTGTATGTATATTTCTGTATAATGGATCATAAATGGTAATAAAATTAAACAACTATTTTAATCCAAACTGAGCCAAAGAGGAAAAAGTCGCCATGTTTTCCATATACCAGTATTCAGTCAGAGATTTTGATAGGAAAGTTAATTTTGTCAACTGTATTTTAAACAGGACTATCTATCTATCTATCTATCTATCTATCTATCTATCTATCTATCTATCTATCTATCTATCTATCTGCTATTGTTTTTGGTCTTTTCATGGGATTTGTTCAAATTCTAGTGGAGAGCCAAATGTATAAAACAATACAATTATATCAGACAGAAGTGTATAAAATGACCCACATCATTTCTAGAATATTTACATTTAATGTGATAGGGCAGCCGTAAATCTTGGCTATTTCACCCAACGGTATCACATACTGTAACTTCAGTGCCAGAACAAGTACATGTAGAATATATAAAGTATCTTATAGTACAGAAAACTATATTTTCTAAACTTAAAGAAATTTAAGTGGAGTTCTGTATGGGGAAATCAAGAGTTTAGGCAGACCCTAAAACATTTCTGTGCTGCCATTACTGAACGTCTCACCTGTGCAAGATTTACAACAGGTATGTCAGCGTGTGATTGACGTCTGTTGGCACAGGTTCAGGACACGCCCCCCTGCTTCCTGTCACACACACACACACGCATACATTTGGTGGTGGTGACATTTGTGAAGCCTCGCGGAAGATGGTCGTAAATCTCGGTTTTATGAGCGAGTCTGCTGAACTCTGCAGACTGCTGACCGCATCGCCTTGACATTCAAGACCACTGTGGCGCAAAAAAACCTGGGGTTCCAACTCCCTGAAAGCATTGATTGATTTGCCTCATGGGGGCAGTGAAAGGCACTCACTGTTAGGGTCAGCCTTGTTTCTGTTTATAAAAGTCTTTGTTCATTACCATCATGACATGTGGAGATTTGGCAGACGGCAGTGTTTGCCTTTAAAACATTAAAAGAATGCGCAATATTTTAGCTTTTTCCAAAGTTTTAGCCTCAATAGAAAAATGCACAATTACATTTCCTCTATAAAATGAGTCTTTGACATAAATACAGGTTTTAGGCTGACTAAATGCTGTAAATATGACATTTGGAGTAAAGCAGCCATCATCCAATCTGCAGTTCTATTTAGTGAAAAAGAAGAGAGGAAAGGAAAGCTTCAAAGATTGAATCCTGCAGGCTGGAATCCAATCAAGTCATTAGGAGCAGGTGGGGCCTGAGCCAAGCTCCCATAACTTAGCTCTGGTCAAAAGACAAAAGCAGCAGCGCTCTGGTTTTTGTGGGATAAGTTGTGATGGGGTTCAGGGAGGCAGTTTTGTTAGGGTTTGTGCTTCTCCTCTCACTTGGAAATGTTTGTGCTGCCACACAAAACTGGTTAAACGTCAGCACCAATGAGACTCTGAACCAGATCTCACAAGAACAAGTGACAAGAAGCTTACAGCTGCCAAGAGCACAGCAGATAACAAATCATTGGTCAAACCTGACGGAGCACAGTGATCCCCTGGTCCGATATCTTGTCAGCTACCGGCTCAAGATCTATCAGCTCAGGAACCCAGCTGCTGAAAAGCAAACTTCTCAAAACCTACAGGGATCGGGGGCCAGAAAGCCGACCTCAGAGCAGCTGGAGCCGAGGGAAACTGTCCAAGCTCAAGAGTTGTTAAAATTGCCAGGTCAAGGCCCAGATTTGAACCCATCTCTCAAGCAGGAACCAAAGGTACTTTTTATCTTCAGGACTTCCACGCATGCCTTTTTGATCTTCTGCACCATTTTTAAGTTCAGTGTAACTAAGTCTGAATGATGTTCTAGGTGCTGGTGAAGCATGAGCAGTGGTTGCCTGTGCCAGCGGCCAGCGTGGCAGCGCACTGTGGCGAACGAGAGGTCACCGTAGAGGTCAAACAGAACTTCTTGGGTAATGACTGCCGGTTACTTGTTTGAATTGATCCTCTGTTTTTCTGTCCGCAGTGGCACCGGCACAGGTCCATTTAACTTGCCTTCTGCTCTGATGTCTGAAAAAGAAAGGGTCAGGTTAGAGGCCCGAATTGGAAAACTGAATGGAGCGGTGAAGATGGGACACTCAGTGCTGATTACTGCAGATGGCACAGACTATGGGCTCGGCAATCAATATTATGTTTCCTCTTATTTCTTCACTCCGAGAAGGAGCATTCTTCATGGCCAGTTCAGTGCTCAAATGCTGACTTTACAGTGACGCATTAAGAAACCTTTTTATTTGTCCTGTGGCTGAACCTCTACTTGCTGTGAGTGTTATTGACTGGACCAGGAAAAGAAATGGCCTTTGGTAATGGTCCTGATTTAAGCTGCGCCTTTTCCTCTTTGTACTTTGTGTAGGAAATGGTCAGTTGATCCACCCGGGTGATCTGACCTTAGGAGGCTGCGCTGTGCTAGACACCGCTGACCACATCCTGCAGTTCCAGACGGAGTTACAGGGCTGCGGCAGCACGATGACGGTGTGTGGCTCTCTGCCTCCGTTAGTGCCCATGTACTCTTGTATATTTAAAGTCACCAACTGTTCTGTGTGTCCTGCAGATGACTGAAGATGCCCTCATCTACTCCTTTTCTCTGATGTACTCCCCAACACCCATTGGCAACACTGTTGTTTTGAAGACTAACCCTACTCAGGTGGTAATAGAATGCCGCTATCGAAGGTAAAGCCTCCATAATTTAGTTTTCCCTCTTTAACTCTGCCAAGTCTAATTCTAGCCCTGCTGTCAGCACAGATTATTTAGAGTAGCTGCAGGTCTTGAAGGGTTTAGTTTCCAAAAAAAAAAAGTATTAGTGTAAGCCCCCCTATTAAAGGTCCATTGTGTAACATTTATTCTATTCATTGTATTGTCAGAAATTTAATATTATATTAGGTGTTAGGTATTTTTTGATTATTGAATAATCCCCTGAAAAGAAAAGTTGTGTCTTCTTTACCTTTTTAACGTTTGTGTCTTCAGAGAGAGCAGGCCCACTTCTATGGAGGCCGCCATGTTTCTACTGTAGCCCAGAACAGACAAAGCAAACACTGGCTCTACATGGGGCCTTTTGCGAGATTCGTGGCCACCATAGTTTCTCCTAAACACTTGGCAGGCGGCGCTGTATTCAAATGGTTTCAATCTGTAACTTCATCGCTAAATGCCACTGAATCCTGCACATAATGTTTTAATTCATCCATCTAATCCATCTATCCATTTCTTGCGTCTTGTCTGGGTCCAGATTGCTTTATTTTACTAATTACATCATTAGGGAAGTACTGAAAAGTGATATAATAATTATAAAAAATTCATAGCCCTTATCTCTACTGGTTTTACTTCATACTTTTGGCCAGTAAGACCATCAAACAAGTTTTTTTTTTTTTTTTTTTTTAAAGGTCTTAAGCCTTGAATATAACTTGGTGAACCCTGCAGAACCTGTTATGTCATATTTACCTTCCTGTGTTCTGTTTTCTTCTGTCCTGTCTTTCCTCGTGCGTGAGGAACACATTCTTCTTCCTCGATGAGCCTCTTCTCTAGTGAAATGCCCGTCCTTCCTTTTTAATTGTCCTCGCAGGAGGCATTATGTGAGCAGCAACGCTGTCGGGCCTACCTGGAAGCCGGTCGCCTTCAACATGTTGGCGGAACAGCAGCTGCACTTCTCCCTACGCCTCGTGACAGGTGGGGACACATCGAGAAACGACAAACTTAGAGTTGATGTTCTGCAGTTTAAAAACTTTGATTTGCGGCAGACGGTTTGGCTAATTTCCCCAGCGAACAGCTTTAATTGCAATCACTCAAGGCCTCGCAGACTTCTCCGTGACTGCTTAAGATGCCGAGCTGTGACTTGATAAGTGGGGGGGGGGGGACTTTTGATGCATGGTGATGAGCTGAAATTACATGCCTTGTAGGCTGCAGGCGACCCAACGGGGTCACTCGCACAATAAAGGGGATCAATAAACAGCTGATTATGTTTTTCTAATTAATTCCAAGCTACACATGTAGATAGTGACGGCACCAACTTGTTGTTCGTGTTTAAAGGTTGGCCCAACACGACCTCAAACCGTTTCCTGTGATTTACTTATCGCTAGGAAGGAAATGATAGTTTTAAACCAGTTTTTGCAGGCACAGACCCTCATCTGTTTCTTATCCAGGTTAATGATGATGCTACATGTGTAATTCATTTATTGCCTCTTTAAAGTACTTTTCTCTTATTGTTACAGTACCTATATCCTATTCACTGCCGCTGCACTGACCCACTCTCCCCCCAGAGGCATCATTTAAGTTTCATCTAATCAGATTGATGGCCCCTGCATTGCTTCTCCACTTTGTTTTTTTTTTTTTTTATTTTTTCCATCTGTATTTGATTAGAGGACTGGCAGTCACAGAGGCCTTCCAACATCTACTTCCTTGGTGACGTGATGCACATCGAAGCGGCCGTCCTCCAGGGTCACCATATTCCGGTGAGGGTCTACGTGGACAGCTGTGTGGCCACCACCGACCCCGACCCCAGCTCTCAACCCAGATACCCCTTCATCACCAACCACGGGTGAGAAGCTGTGGATTGAATAGAAACAGAGGTGGTGGTGTTTGTCCGAAGGAGTCAGCTAGTCATAATAATCAAGATTTAGGTTTGAAAGGTACAGTTGCATATCACGTCGTATCTGTTTGGAGCATTTATTGTCCTGTGAGGAGTTGGAACGGCCGGACCTTTTTGTGTTTAGGAATATAAATCCTGTGCCTGTATTTTTCCATATAAGGTGTTTAAATGATGCTAAGCTGACAGGAGCCAAGTCTTACTTCATGCAGAGGAGCCAGGAGGATAAACTTCACTTCCAGCTGAAAGCCTTCAGGTTCCACCAAGATCACAGGAATTCAGTAAGTACAGCGAGTACGAGACATGTTTATACAGTTTAGAACTACTGATCATGTATCATCTAGTCAGACATTTGACTTTTGAGGCAGTTTTTCATCCCGGCATTTTCTACTCAAGCACTCAGAAGACTGTCGAGAGGTGTGTCTGGATGTGAGAAGCTAACTTGTGCCAGCCAAGGTGTTGCTCAACTATTTATTTTTTTTACATGCTAAGTTGGCACGTAAAGTACACGTTACTGAGTGTTGTTTGAAGGGCGTAATGCCCTCAGTTGCTATCTGTGCTGAGTTCAAATACTTTCCAGCTGAGGGAATGAACGGCCTCTCCGGTAACCTTAAACTGAGGAACTATAATGTAGCGTGGAGAAGCCAGAATGGAGCATTGCCACAAATCGAAGCCAGTGTCAACTCAGAAAAACCCTTTTCGTGCATCTGTGCAATTAGAGCTTTGGATGAACCTTAACATTAAAATTAACTTTGATCATTTTGCCAAACAGGAAACGCTACTCCCAAATGCAACAGTCTGCTTGATAATCCATTAAAAACCTCAGTTTATTTAAAAGAAAACAAAAAACTCACTGGGGTACACGTCATGGTTACATAAGAATACATCAGACCCTGAGAGAAGGGGCAATGTGCGCACTGTATTTTCAGCAGCAGATCATGGACTCGCCCTACAGCAATAGATTGCCAGGCTGAATAATTTAAGCTTGAATATCTTAAATTTCTGGAGGTGTAGAATCACTTTTCAGCAGGGAATGGGTGGCTTGGTAAAATCTTCTGCTGCCAGTTTAGGACACAAGGTTTTTATATCCAAACAACGGGGTTTGATCTGGTGTGAGTAGAGCTGTGTATCGGCAAGAATCTGGCAATAAGATGCATACATTTTATGCATATTCAACCAGAAGCGTCAAAGCCCTTAGTGTACGTTTACAACCCTGCTATCCAGCGGTTGGGGGTTTTAAATGCAAAAATGGAAACTATTTTTTGAGAATCTATACAATTTGACAAAGCAAAAAATATTGCTACTATATTATATTCTTACACCCCTGTAGTCCAAGTTTCCATACTTAAGATTTCAAAATGATTTCTTGTTGGATCTACTAATGAGAACGTACTGGAAAGATTTGAATTGGTGGAGATGCGGTCTGCAACATTTGGAGCAGCAATAATGCATGTTTAACACTGAATATCAATGTCTTTGTTTAATGTTCTTTAACTTCCTCGTAGCTCTACATCACATGTCGCCTGAAAGCAACAGCAGTCTCTGTTCCCATCGACTCGCAACACAAAGTGTGTTCATTCTTGATTGAAGCTAAAAGGTTTGTTCCCTCAAAGGTAATTCAGTCATACTTAACCAGTCACCTTACATTAGTTAACTACTTTTATTTCTTTTATGTTCAGCCCCCCCCCCCCAATACTGTAACAAGCAAAAGTTTAAGTATTTCCTTTGACCATGACTAATGCTATAGAAAGATTTATTCAGCTGCTGTAAGAGTTACATTTTTGGCTCTGGACAGATGGGTGGCATCAGGCGGAGACAATAAGGTGTGTGGCTGCTGTGAGACCAGCTGCGGAGAGCAGAGACAGAAGAGAGGCCTCGCGACAGATGCTGGTACAGTCTACAGAAGTGACACTACATTACACATGGGGATGAATCCTGAACACTTGATACTGACCCAGGGGAGATATTCTGGTACATTCTCTAGTGCTGTCATAAAAAAAAAAAAACTTTTACAATATTTTGGCAGGATATCACAAAAAGGAATTTTTGTCCATTTGGCATTTTTAGATCTGCCTGAAGGCTATATGCAACCGGTTTGAGACTGTCTTTGGGTTCTGAAGCAGCAAGCCCCTCACCCTGTCGTACTTAAAATGAACCCAAATGATTGCTTGCAACAAGGAGGGAAATATAATCAGCCACAGACTAACAAACAAGCAGAAGATCCACCCATATTTAGACAAGCTAACTTGCTCTCGTTTGGCACACATGCTGTTTATGCATCTTTAGAGGATTGATTCTGAGCTGATCCCTTTTAATTGTCCAACCAATCAGTCGTGTCGTGAATGGTTGAATCAGCTGGCTAAATGCGCTTAGATTGTTTGTTTGTTTTTCTCCCCCCTGCTCCATTCTCCCCCAATATTGGACTTGCAGAGCTTCCTCTAGGTCTGCAGTGGGAGGGGACAGCTGCTCTGGGCCCAATCCTGCTGGAGGAGAACGTCCTGGAAGAGGAGCTGTCTGAGCCGTCTCTGCTCCGAACGTGTGAAGCGACTCGAGCAGGTTAGGAAGGGCATCGGCGGTTTTCACACATGGGGCAACGCACAACTGGGGGAAAAATGCATTTTAATTTTTTTTTCCTGCACCTACCTTTGCTGCCGTCATCTCTTAATTACTAAATGCTGTAACTAATGGAACCAATAACGCTTGTCTTCCGCTCTCCGTCCTCAGCATCCTATTCATCGATAGCCCTGCTGTACGGAGCGGGTGCAGCCCTGGCTGTGGTGTTGCTAGTTTTCATGGGTGCCATCATTTGCAGCGGATTACGCAAACCCACTGCACACGCTGTTTGTACCTAATTTAAGACAATAAAACATTTAAAACCAAGCCTCATTTTTGCTTTTTCATCTCTTGAACCGAGACAAAAGATTAATTCTCTCTAGCTAATAAATTAAAACTTAAATCAGCCATCTTGATGTCTCAGTTTTCTTCTGAGAATTGTATTTTGGAGTTAAACTTGCACAGTTTCTCTGCAGGAGATTACTTCATTTGGTTGAATCTGTACAGTATGTTAGTCAGGTGCCTCTGCAGCGTATTCTGTGTTAGTGTTATAGGTTTTCCGGGGTTAAAAGGGGTTAAGTTGTAGTGTCCAGCCTTGCAGAAAATGACCTGGCCATAAAATGTATGCTGAGGCACTGTATATTGCTCTATCAATCATCTTGCTTTAAGGGTTTTCTGCTGCTTTTTTTTTTTTTTTTTTTTTTTTCTTTTGAGGCATGATGCAAGAAATAAATAGCTTGCTGTATATGGTTAAGGTTTTCATAATGTGCAGGGGCGTGTCTGGAACATTTTTAAATGTGGGGGCCCAGGTGGTGGCCAGCGAGTGACCTTTTTTATAAGCACATATTGGGTGAATATACAAGACAAGAAAGGCAGTGTACAAGGTATGAAATGAGCCAAGCTGCTGGCCTTTAATGCTGAATTCACACATGGATGATTTGTATGGTTAATTTTTAGGGTGCCTGCAGCTGGTCCAGCCATTGCTCCGATCTCAGGGAGATAATTTAATACACACCATTACTACTGAGCTGCCATGTAATTCACTTGAGCAGCGTGAGATTTTCCCGTCCTTATTCTAATCCACATCTAAAACAAAGAAAACCTTCAAAAAATGAAATGAAAAGTGCCGCCATTGGCTCCGTGCTGTGAGGTAAAACATAAAGTACCATCCCACTAACAATAGTCATATTTTAGCCTCAGGCCATTTTCAGCTTTTCCCTTTAATTCACCCCCTCCAGCTTTCTGCCAGTGGCGGAGTACTCGTGAAATGGGGCTCATCATGAACTGTTGCTCACAAGCCCAGGAAGACGAATAGACATAATTAAAAAGCCCATAAAGGCGAGAGCAGGGGCTTTTATTACAGTAATATGTGAAGGCCTTGGTTTAATGGGGTGTTTGTTCCCGTGTGCAGGGCTGACGGCAGCGCTAGTTTACTGCCGGAGCGATGCTGACCCCCTCCCATCTCCAACACACCAGGGGCTAATAAAAAGCCATACCTAACGATGCACCAGCAGGAAGCATGACAGCGACAGGCAAAGCACACATTCAGAGGCGCAATGACAGACACACACCCACAAGCCTCTCCCTAAAAAGATAATCAGGATGTGGGGATTATATTATTATTGGGATTTTTAGAGAGAGGGAGAAAGAATAGAGTACAACAAAGAGAAATAAATGATTGGCCGTTATGTGTTTTACTCTTGCAGTATGAGGACGTGAGATTCCCTCTGCAGGTGAACACGTTTGACAATTTAAATCTGCATTAATTGATTATTTTGGCCACTTGGGTGCAGCAGAACAAGCTATAAAGGCAACACTGATGTCAGCTTACACAGTAAAGTTGACATGGTGAACGTGTTAGCAAACAGCAGCAGGCAGGGAGCAACATTAGCATTCATTAGGAGTTGTGTGTAGCAGCTAAACACTCCATCATGTTCACCACCAGTTGCTAATTTTGTCTTTTTTTAGTTTGGTGCTGCAGGTAGGGTGCAGTGGGTTTTATCCGGGATTTTCTCTGAAACCAAAACATTAAAGTTGCAGGTGGTGAAACCAAGCGGCGGCCTCCGTGGCCGAGAAATGAAGTCTGTGCGGCGGTGCCAAAACCTGCGTTTCCTGGCTACAACAGTGAGTCAGCCCCTATTATAAAGTATTTAGCTTAAAGTTATGCATAATTAAGAGCATTGCCGCTTTGAGTGACAGGTGGGTGCCGTCACTCCACCCACGCTCCACATATTTGGCCATTTTGGGATCAGCCGGGAGTCTGCCAAGATGGCAACCACACTGACGTCACAGACGCTACAGTCTATGGGCAAAACCAAGACAATAAAAGACTAACAGATGCTAAAACTCACTGCGGAGCTGGTAATTCTCTGTGGGTTTTATCACAACCAGCAACCCCTTCCAGACTACACATAGTTATTTGACCCACTGTTACTGTAAAAATATTGATTAGTGCAGCTTTAAAGCAACCTCAGGCAACTGCACATATTGGAAGAAACAGCTAGATGCAAATATTTGAAGAAATGATACCAAGAAATCCTAGCTACGCTCCTGCTTACTGTGCACCAAAACCTTTTGCAAATGTGGTATGTCTACAGTGTCTCATTTAGTAGTTTTTCTCCATTACACCCTGAGATTCCGATGCATGCTGCTAAGAAAAGTGTGATTTTAAAATTTTTTTTTACATACAAAACTCGCCTGCGGCTTTGGGTAGAGTCAACAGAGTGTAAAAGGTGTTAATGTCTTGTTATGGCCTCAGAGGATCGTCATCATCATCATCATCATCATCATCATCATAGCGGAGATGCTTGCCCGCCCACAGATGTCTAACGGTTATGGCGGCACGGACCCAAGTTGACAGGCAAAATGGCAGAGAGTCCTGAATCAGCCATTTTCGTCAACAGGATGCGTGACCCTGAGGGCACAAGCACACACACACACACACACACGGGCCATCAAAAGTAATGGTGTGTGTCCAGTGGCAGGCAGGGAGAGTCCTCTCATGTCTGGCAGCCATAACGATATTATTGCTGTAGATGGAGCGTGCTGGGGAATATTGTTCCACACCATTGGTATGCTGCAGACGTCCACTCGTACCACACTATCGGTGGTGATGACACAAGTCGGCATTAACGCCAGACGTGTTGGTTGGCACTTTTGACGAGAAACCACAACATGTGGATTCCTCCTCGAGACATGAAAACTGCAGTTATTTTCAACTGTAGTGTGTTTTTCTTTTCCCAACAAAGACAGACAGAGGTGACCATTATCAAAGGTGCTGTGTTATTACTCTCCGCCTTTGAAATTCAAGGCAGACAACTCTATCATTTATGACTGACTCAAAATATTCACTCCCTATTTGAATTTAAATAAATATCAAAGGCTGTTTAATTTCAGCCATGAATGCTCATTGTGTTATTATACGCCTCTGATACACGTTGCAGTATTACATCTGCGGCTGCTCGAGAGAATGCACGTGCACACAAACATGCACGCGACCTCTGTCCAGGCCCATAATTAACCCTCTTAATTAAGGGGGAAAAAAGTTGCTAACGAAGGAAATGGTTTTAATTAGCCTGGTCTTAGCCCAGGCACATGTGCGCGCCATAAAACACACACTCATGCACCCGCACGCACACACAAAACAATTAAGCCTCTTTTATCCCGGCTAATGGCTTCAGTGACTCAGAGCCTTTCTCATTAAGACTATCAATAATATGCTGATTACATGCATCCAACGGTCTCCTTTATCAGGGCACAAAGGGACGAGTGTGTGTCTCTTAGGTTTCAGGGGTGGGGCAGTCTGTCGGCGCGACCTTATCTGGTGAAATAGACGTTTGAATTGTTTGGCTGGAGAAGCTTAAAGAGGCCTCGCTTTGCCATGTCTTTATTCTCTGCGGTTTATCTTATCGCGGAGGCCACGTGTGTCTTTCACAGGGAGGAAATGCCTCTGAAGTTGTGGTGCTGAGGGCTTTACTGGGGAGAGATAATAGACTGCAGAGTGACGGTGATTGGAGGGCTGTAGATCTGTCTGCTTGTCTGACTGAGTACCATCAACCCCTGCTGGTTTTCAGTCAAATATATTCCTGCCGGTTTGTCATCCATGTTTCTATATCACTTAAGCACCTACATATATTACCTATATTTTTCGATTGGATCCACTTTTATACAATTCAAACATAAAATATATACATATTTTCTTCTCTTCAGGGAGGGTGCTGTTAGACACATACACCCGCACATAAACACACACTGCAGAGAGTAGCATTACACACACAATGAGCAATCAAACGGTTTGTATACACACATCACATCATCTTTTTTTAAGCACGGCCAGTTTGATACGATTGGATATATTTTTAATGTCCCTGTAGGGAGATTTGTTTTGGACTCCGTCCTGCAGTTTCACATCCAGCACTGGTATTGGGTAATACATCCATTAGTTTGAAGGTTTATCAGATGCCAAAATACTGCAAGGAGGTTTATAATACTGTGAAACAGGATTTTTCATCTCTGGAAAGACATCCTCTTTCTTTGTGATAGTAAACAGTTTGAAGAGACACAGGAATCTACCGTGAATGTGTGCTTGTATGTATTTAACGGACTAATATGGTGCCATTGCATGACATTATAACCTGGTTAAACTTTTCTGCCAAGAAAACCAAGCTTGCAGAAGGTCTGGAGGAGGGCTGGTCATTTAATCCCAGACTGAAATGCTGTAACTTCAGAAAAATTAGATAGGCGGGGACGAATCGTTTGGTTGTCCCTTGACTTTTCATCCATCGCATCAGGTCAAATATAATTTATCCAACACTTCGTTTTTGACAAAAAAAAAGCTAATGACATTCCTATCATCCTCAGCTGTACTTGTGGTAATAGGCAAATGTTGGCCTGCTAACATGCTAAGCACAGTGAACATGGTAAACATTATAGCTGCTACGCATTAGACATGTTAGCATTGTTTTTGTGATCCTATTAGCATGAAGATAAATCCCTTTAACCCATCTGCCTCATCCTTCTCATTTTCAACCTATATGTTGAGGTGTGTATGAGTTGTGTTTTTTTAGACAGTAAAATGAGATAGACAGGCGTCTGTCACACAGGCAGGAAGACAATAGGTCTGTGCTTTGACCTTCAGTCTCTTCCTGTTGTAACAGACCCTGGGGTCCCTCCCAGAGGAGGTGAGAGGAAGGCGGTGGCTTGACCTGCAGGGGCCACGCCTTCAACCCCTTCTATACAGCATCCCTAAACATCCCCGATGGGGGCTGCCATGCTCCCTCTGATCTCCACTGTTTTCCACTTGATGCCATTGTGAGATTTGTTTTTCA